CATCACCGTCAAGCTCAAGCAACAACCATAAACAATTTTATCAAATTCATGTCAAGCGCCGACCCCTCTCTTCGAAAACTCCGAAACCACATCCGTGTGGACGATTCGAGGTATTACGCGGTGACCTTTTTGCTAAACCAATTGCAATGTCCATCAAGGCCCCGAATTCAAAGAAGGGCATCGCTACTAGGAACAAGAAGCTACTAATGACTCCAACTGTTCTCGTTCAGTAAGCTGCCTTCCATTCCACCCGGAAAAAAGAACTTCGCAAAGCTGACCTGCAGATGATCCACTGACTTCTGAGGATTGAATATAGATAGCAGCTAGCATCCCCCCAGCCGCTGGCCGCATTTTCCAATGATCCCCCCAGTGCTCCATCTGCCTGGACCCTCCAAAATACCTTATAGAACATCTTGGTGGGGTGTTGCCCGATGTGGTTCACTCTGAAGTGGGCTTGTTAAAGGCAAATAGGCTGCAACAACGTGCCGTGCTAAACAAAGCATATTGAGTACCAAGTAGTCACAAGCTGGACGTGCACTGCCTCGGACTTCGGCCGATAACCAATTCCTAATCACCCTATAGCTGCCTATGTGATATAACATTAATATTAATAAATGTATGTGACTGCATGTGTACAAATTGTGTATAAGTATGTATATGTATAATGTGGGTTGTCCTGATGCCTACAGTGGATATGCTCTCCCTTCTCTTGCGCCCCTGACAGGGGCTGGCGCCCCACCCGCCGGCCGCGGTCGTTTTTCGTCGCGTCGCGTTCCGGGGCGGTCGCTTCTTCACGTTGCCAGGCCTGAATTGTGGGTGTCTGGGTTTTTGGAAAAGGTCGCAGGACAGATCATGGGATTCTAGGATCGCTCCAGGCAAGTAACTGACTCGAACTACCTCCGAAACTCGGTGACCGGTGATAGAAGTTTTCGGGTTTGGGTGGTTGAACGACTACCTTCTGAGTCTGAGGCGGAACTTGATCTTTCAGAATTCAAGGGCCCGCGTGGGCCCCCAGCCCCTTCAGCTCCAAAGGAGGATGGAGATTCGGAGGAAGTCGAGAGAACGAGGCTTCCAGAAAAGGCACTCAGTGGATAGATGGATGGGTTGCATATATCACCATATATCCGATTACCAGTACAGTAACAAAGTTTATTTTATTTCGTTTTGCATCTTAGCGAAGTGAAGTGGTCATCACTTCCAAACCATAGTACTCACGCACCAACAGCCGACCGAACTAATTACGAATTGGAACGGGATGCTGATGCTTAGGTTGCAGGCCTTTCTCATCCTTGATTTGGGTCTATCATGGTCTATCCTACCAGTAACCCTGGATGATGATGATTAGTAAAGGACTTGCATGTTCCAAAATAATTAGTGATAATCATTGATATATAATCGATGGAAATCGTTTACCCACTGTTACAGGTAAATAGGACAAACCCAATGGATAGATGATCTAAGACTCAAAAGTACCAGGCTAAGAAGGCATGTTCATAATGTTATGAGTCTCTCAATCTCTACCCGCACCCTCCCCAGGTCTCCTTGCTATTTTTTTTGCTGGACCCTGTTGGAGGTCGTAATTAGTGGCTTGTGGCGTATTAGTGCTGGTAGATGATTAGGGTCCAAAGAGCAAGCGTTCCACCCTGGACACCTGGCCCGCCCACTCGTGCGCCCTCTCGTGCACCCACTTGTTTTGCTGATGCGATTTCGCAGTGAAGCTGGAACTTCTTCTTTACCCGGGCGAGACTCGACTCAGATTTGAATTTGGGCTCTGAGACCTTACCTTATCTCATCTTCTGGTTTATCCAGTTTTTGATTCTTGTCCTTGCCTCGGTTCCGCGTCTTCTCAGGGTGGAAAAGTGGCTCAGTTCCACCGCGGTGCTCTGCTTGGCGCTCTTAGGCTCAGCAGACCAGCAGTGGCAACAGCGCAGGCTGGGGGCACGAGGTTTCAGCGAGCCAACCGGATCTTCCGAACAGGACTTGACGATCATCAGGAATGTGTACCAGCACCTTCATGTCGGGGTCACCTGGCTGGTTTCGCCCCAGCCCACTACTTAGGGATCTCCATTAAACCACACCTTTGAAGGTCCAGGTAGGTTCCGATTCCAATCATGATCGGTTCTTTTCCTTTGGAATAACTTCAGTTTTTCTGGCCAGTGCCGTGATGCTGGAAATTCCCAAGGCAATCACCAGATTCTGATCCATCAAAATCCCATGTCTTCCGGGGCTCAGCCAATCCCTCTGCTTTTGGAGCTCACCGCGGCGCCCAGTTGGGACGGGCAGGTGGGGCGTCCAGCCAGCGAACGCAGTGTTCGGTGCCCCAGGGCCCCAGGGGTCGGGAGCGTTTTCCACGTCCGATGCGTCGTCCGATGGTTCACGTCGGACACTCGATGTGAAGATCGATCCTTATAGTCATAGTCTTCATGGATTTTCACGATCCTTCACGTCGCGGACCACTCATTCCCACTCCAATCTGGGACGCTCTCGGCTCCAACCCCTGGTCATGGGAGAAAACGAATCACCTCGGTGACGGACATGAAATCCGACTTCTCGGGGTATCAGAGATCCGGCCTGCATATCACTGAATGAACGCTCAGCAATTGAGCACCGCACCGTTGGGGATGGGAAAAGGTGGCTAGTAAGCCAACAAGAAACCGCGGGCTGCAGCAGTTTTGGTCTGGTTCTGCTATCAGGCAATCCAAGAGGGCTGAAATGTCCACTATATAGAGTCATTTGAGTCGAAAAAGGCAGAACTGCATTGGGTATATCCTATTCCCTGTGAAGTGAAGTGGTTTATCACTTCCAAACAGTTGGTCAGTGTTCACGTACCAACAGCCTCATGTACTATTGGAACAGGATGATGATGTTTAGGTTGCAGGCCTTTGTCATCTTTCTCTAAAATCGTGATTTGCTTGTTTACCGACGGCTCTACAGGTAAGTTCGGACCCCCCCAAAGATGCATTTGCAGGTTGATGGAGTCGGAATGAATCCAATCAAACAATATCTTTAACATTCTTTCACCTACAACTGCTCCAGGTGGGTCAAAGCCAAGGACATTTCTGCCCGCGTGGGGAAAAACAAGGCGGCACACACAAGACAAAGAGATCGAAAGAGCCTTCTTCCAATTGTAATTGTATTCAACCTCTTGTAGGCGCAGCAAGACCACTTGTCAGCCAGACTCTGTCAGTTCCACCTGTCAACTCATCTTCTTTCCGCATGGCGGTTCTCCAACCTCACCCTGAGTCGGAAGAGGCGTCCACGCCTACGGTTGAGCCAAGTCGCATCGGTCGTTTGGCGGTCTGAAAAGGACCATGGAACTTGGGTACACACACTGGTGGACATGGTCACACTCCAGGGATCCACATACCTTCTCAGAAGGTACTTGGGCCCTCCAAGCCTACATACATAGTCTCCAATCACCTTCTGAGAAGGTACTTGGATCCCTAGGGACAGCAGGACCTGCAAGATCCTACCAGGAGCTGTGGGCAGCCGGGGAAAGGAGCTCTCTGCGCAGCTTCGCACGTCTGACCAGGAAGGTCTTGAAGTCACGAGGGAGCCAGGTATCTCTGGGGCCTGTGGGTACAAAGTCCTTCATCTACATCAACCCAACCAGGATCAGACTGCACACAAAGCAGGATCAGTCAGTATGTAACCAAAACTCTGCTCATGTTCTAAGCTTGGAACTAAACATAAGTACCTGGACCTTCAAAGGGGTGCTTAATGGAGATCCCTAAGTAGTGTAGGGGCTTCCATTGGTGAACCCTTTGAAGGTGCTGGTATAAAAAGCCTTTGCAGCCAAATTGGGTCCTCCAACTCTCCCAAGACCATCGTCCCAAGAACAACGGTGCCTGTGCCACGTGCTTTTGGGGGCCGGATCGTGGGGCGCTGCTGGGCCCCAAGCTCAGTAAGCTTGGATTTGTCTCAGTCAGCAACGGCGAATCGCCTCCCTTCACCGGTCCATTCTTACTACTAGGAGCAAGAGCGCTACTAGGAGCAAATGGCATCGCTACTAGGAACAAGGATGCTACTAGGAGCAAATGGCATCGCTACTAGGAGCATAGCTAGGGAAACCTATCCCCTTGAAAAAGTGTCAAGCTTAGCCACGAAGATCTAACATCAGGCTCTCTCGGGGGGTGAACTACACCAACCACACTCACAAAATTTCACCTGGAAGCGGACGAATAGCCCTGAGTTCAGAAGATCATTCTCCTTTACAAACCGAACGTTTGCCACTTTTAAATGATACTTCCAAAGAGAGTGGTTTCGGCGCACTCTTCATTCCGCCTTCATCGCGACCACGACTTCAAGCTCTTCAAGCTCTGAAGACTTTGGGCTGGAGCTTACGCCAGCCGTTGGGCGCGCGGGTTTCGGCAGTCGTCTCCGGCGACTTCTTCGGCCAACGGATCCACAGAGAGCGGTGCAATCCACGGTGCCAACGATCCCAAAACACGGCAAGCCGTGCATGGAAGGAAGCAACTGGTTGGTGTCAAAGCACTTAAAACAGTCAGTGGGATCACTCGTCTCCATGTAAAGGTTGAACATACAAACATGTCTGAAGCCACCAGCCACACAAACATGCTAGGCTCATGGGCAACGCATGAACTGAAATCAATTGCATGCCCCAAAGGATCGTGTGGTCGATAAATCCACGTGAAGATCGAACTCCCCTCTTCACACTACGTTGTTCCTTCGATCCGGGCCGGCCCTACATCAAATGGCTGGGAGCCGTGGGGTAGTGGCATTGTGCATGAGGTAGATGATGATTATGCCCAAAATGGATTGGAGTACTCTGATATGTTTTGGACATGCCCCTGTAAGTATCGAGCAGGTGATCCAATCTACCATCGATCCCCATTTGCATCCATTGTGAAATCTTCAACGACCATTGACATGTACACCCAGTGCACCCACCAGACACACCTGCCCAGTCGACCGCGTGACCTCTCAGTCGACCGTGGGAGCCGCTCGCGAAAACTCGAAGCTGTTCGCTACGAACTTCGCTACTCATGGATTTCTTGAAGTCTACCTGCTTGCGACCTCCCCGGGGCGAAGAAGGGACGGGGCGGGGCCACACATCCAATCACTGTTGGGACCTGGGGAACTGCCATTTCTCACATATCCCAAACACGACCCGTCTGGGACTGCCATAGGACTGCCGCCCCAGAAAGACCCCCAAGTCACCACCCCTGGCCGTTTCGCAGTCCGACTCGGCAGTCCCAGACAGGTCGTGTCTGAGTCTGGTGGGCGAGACAGGTCAGTAGATAAGGTCGGTTCGAGGGTCTCTGGAGGCCACTGGACGGACCGGTGGAACCGCAGGTGGGACCCGTGAAGCTGAGTGCGTCGTTTTTGCGAAGAAAAGCATGGTGTACTCTCCCTCCCTAGGGTTCTGAGAAGGTGGGACTGGCTGGGTGTCAGGGTTCAAGTACCTGAGGTCACTTGGAGCGTTGGGTGGTGTCGGAGTTCGTCCGGGGACCCGCGCCGCCGGACCCGCGCCTCGATCTGAATCGGGTCATGTGCAAACGGAACTTCGTCTGGCGATTCGGGGCGAGGCCCGGGTTGGAACATGGATCCAGTATGACATGGCGGAGGTGTGATGCATGGTGTTAAACCCATTTCGAAGTTCGAAGATCGTTGAAGAATGAAGAATGATGTATACCAGCACCCGACTCTACAGGTCTCTTCGGCTTCGGGAGGCTTATTCAAGTGACGGGTGGAGGCCTGTAGAGTCCGGTTTTTCCTGTATACCCAGACACTCCATGTCTGTCATATATGCCGATCAGTTGGGGTGGTGTTGGTGGTCAATATGGCAGTCCCATGGGTCGTGTCTGGGAGGACGATCATTTCGGTGATCGCACGACGTCGCTCGAGGTCCGTGACGAATTGGAGCTGCGGAGCTTCACGTCTCGGAGCTGAAAACGTGGAGCCGACTCTAGACGAAAAGCGATGTGGGGCCAACATCAAACCCCCAAAGACTACCCCGGTCTAGTTCACGAAGTTCACGTCTCTGTCTACCGGCCCTTGACCGAATGGGTCAACACCAAGGCTCGCTGGACCGAGTCCCACGGACCGCCACGGGACTCGGTGTCGTCCGGTGGTTTCCACCGTGGAACACGGCGGATCGGATGCGGATTCGCTTCGGCACCGGTCTGACATGACATGACGACACCATGGTACTGCAGTAGAATTACATGTATTCCGTGACTTGCCTTCGCTCTCTATCAGTCCAATCATCTGTTACCGTGGATTCCGCCGCCGCGCCTTGCCACTGGGAACTTCAAAGCGAGAAATGTTGGCTGACGTCGTAAAGTGATGACCACACAGCCGCAAGCTCAACTTCGTGTCCTGCGAAGAGATCGCACAATCTCTCGAGATTGCGCGGGGTGTTTGGGTGGACCAACACCTCAACACTTCGTTGTTGATTGTAGTTCAAACAGGTCATGCCAGGAGCTGGAAAAGCCGTGGACATGGTTCCCCAAATGAATGGACACCGTTTCAAAAACCCGACCAATCCAGTTTCTGAACCCTATAGCTTCTGTCCCCGTGGTTTGAGTTTCTGAAACATTTCTGAACTCATAGAAAAGCTCAGTTAAAAAAAATAGAAAACTACAAAAACAAGACAACGTTCTTGAAACAAATCTCAGATCCACCATGGACGTCAAGTCGCTAGTGGCAAAACCTCGAACCCAAAAGCAAGCAAAACCCGTGCACTGCATGCTGTGCTGCTGAAAGCAACGTTAATGTCCAATGTCGCGCTCAGAGCACAGTAGACACGCAGCCAAGTGCAGCAAACAAACACCCATTTTTGGACCAACTGATGCGTGCCCCATCTTTTGGCAAGTCAATGACATCTACTGTGCCCCATCCTCTGTTCTCCGAGACGACTGTTTTCACGAACGAAGCGAGTCCACCACGGATCAGTCAGTGGATCCTGTTGAAGGATGAAAAGGTCATGTTTATGGACTAGGAAAACGTGTTTTTTCCAGCACATGTTGCACCGGTGTTGGGTGAATTAATCATAATATATGATAATATGAGTATACTTGTTGGCAGTCTTCATGTCTTTTCTGTTTTTCTATTCCAAATGATGAATGTCCTTGTGTCCTTGGTTCGTGTCGCATACAACTTTTGAAAGGGGCGGGTGGGTGGGTGGGGGAGGTAATAACGTTCTAGTTCTACACGACTGTGGTCAGTTTCGCCGCAGTTTCGTCGGATGGGGACCCACGTGTTTTGTCTCGTGTTGGCTTTGTATGGTTTTGCTGATTATATAATTCGTTTGTCTGGTCCGTTTTTCTCATTTAAGAATCACCCAGTCTTGGCCCCAATCTTTGTCGTTGACACGTTGTACTTGGACTCTTTGGTTAAAGTCTCTGGTTGATCCTATACTGCTCTGGTTGTTCAGGCAACAGAGATGTTGGAAGATCGTTTGCCTCTTTTCTTTTCTGACCTTTGGTCTGCGTGGTGTTCGGTGTTGTCGCACTCGCTGAAACTGAGATCTCCGTCTCTCAGAATTCCAATGGCGATATATACCAGCACCTTCAAAGGGGTCACCAATGGAAGCCCCTACACTACTTACGGATCTCCATTAAACACCCCTTTGAAGGTCCAGGTATGTGCAAAAGAATTTACAGTAATCCGAACTCACTCAAAAGGACAGGGCAAACGATGAACATCTTAAGATGTACGCAAAGAAGCCGTTGCGCAGTTGACAGTCAAAACTCAGGTTTTGAACGTTTCGACATATGACATCATAAATGACAGATCGCATGTAAAGAGTACCATCTCACAAAACACTGGCCTGCGGCGTGCGGCATTTGTTTGAGCCCCTTGCCGGGATGTTTATGAGCTTCTTCAATAAGCTACGGTAAATGTTTGTTCTTACAGGAGCGAGGGGTTCTCTTACATGTGCATGATCCGGCTTTCATTTGGTCCAAAACCAAAAATCGATGGTATATATTATTGATTATTAATATTTGGAGACTAAGTTGGAGTCAATTTATACTATTTGCTATAGATGTTTTTTATGTTTTTTTGTTGATGTTTGTTGTATATCTATGTTTTATATAACTAATAGTTTTTCAACATGCGAACAGATGTGCAGTGATGCAGATTCCCCCCCTCTCAAGAGGGGTATGAAGAAACAAAGCTACCCTTTGACTCACTAAGTGGACAACCACCTGTTCGTAGAGGAGAATAGTCATCCAACGGGCAATGTTCATCAATTGTCCGCTTCCATGTTGGTCAGTATTTAGTCAATCCCAAACACTCCATGTATACACCTACCCCCAAAACCACCCCAACTGATCGGCATATATGGCAGTCCCATGGGTCGAGTCTGGCAATCGGAAGGGGTGACCAGACCATCCACCTGGTGCTGGCAGCCGATCTCCGGTTCCTCCGTTTCCTCCGTTTCCACAAAGGATGGAGAACAACTGCCACACAAGGGAGAACCAATCACATACAGATACATGGCTGACATGGCTGTGGATGAAAACCACCAGGATACCGACCGGTTTGACCTTGTGACGGGTTAGCCTTAGTTTGCGAGTCTGGTACCAACTGGTCGGGCTCTCAGGTTTGACCCAGGCCTGTTGGAGAGTCTAGGATCCGGCTTGCAGGGTGCTTAGCACTCGTTGGAGACCACTGGCCTGGCCCATGGTTTTCCTGCTCCGGTCGTCTGGAGTCGTTCGTCGCTTCGCGTCCCCTCGCAGTCATTCGTCCCCTCGCGTCGCGCCAAGGAGCAGCTCAAGGTCTTTTCCACCTCGTCCCAGTGCCGTAGGAAGGACCGCAGTCTGGGACCATTGGGAACCTGCGAGCACCGACGCCGGCTTTTCGGCCGGCTGCGCGGATCCTCGGAGCGGTCGAGCCGGCGGTTCTTTACCGCCGGGTCTGACGACGCCATCCACTGCGGGATGGTTCCCCGACCTAATTGGAGCAATTCGTACGCATGAATCAAATACTCATACTCCAGCTCCCTCAAAGTGGCTTCAAATTGAAGCCACTTAAGCAATGATATATCAATCGTCCACTTAGTTCATACATCGAGGTTGTAAAGAGTCTAAGTGACCTTTTGATATATGGCCTTGATGTGTCTTGATATCAAGGACATATCGAAGTGGGGTGGAGAGAGGGCTCCGGACGAATGGATCGGGCCCGCACGCTTCGTCCGCAGCACCTTGAACGGGCCAAGATGAGCATGACAGACTGCGGTAAGAGATGATCATGCTATAGGCCATGAATGGTTTCTCTATAGGAACACCATGGTGTCAAGAGTCCTTTACCTCTTTTGCCCACTGAAGCCATGGGTAAGAAAGCCCTGCACATGAAAGATCTAAGCCCGGATGGCCAGTTGCTTGACTTAAGAGTTGATTGGTAGATGAGCGTGCACGCACGCAAAGATTACTGTAGGCGATATTGTTGCTAAGGCGCCTACGTCGGGCTCTTGAAAAACGAATGCCCCAGGGATTGGAAGATGAGCAGGAGCTCATCCCAGGTGGAGACCTACGAATACATGGAAACTCGTGGGTGAGACGGGCATTTGCTGACAGTGAAGTGCAGCGGGTCCCCAGGGAGGCAGAGGTCAGGAAAATCATCATGCACTTCTTGCAAAGCCACCCATGTTTGTGCACCTTGGACCGACCGTTTATCCTGCTGGAATGGTTCTTGCTATAGAGATATAGATATTGATGCCCCCAGGGCCCACCGTGCCCGACATCCCAGGTCCACCCACTATCCATGACCGTGATGGATGGTGCAGGGAACAAGCTCCATGGCTCACCATGCACCACAACCTTCAAAGTGACCTCTTGAGATCTCAGAATGGGGTCACTTGGTCCCTGAAGAGGTCACTTAGACACTCCAAAGAGGTCACTTTGAAGGTCTGGCATATCCCAGCATGTACTGGATGGATAGGGTCCCCTATGTTTTGAGGCTGCACGATGCCATCGTATCTTCTTGAGACACAAGAAGGGCTCATCATCACGGTCATCATTTTCATCGCGCTCAATGTCAAGGTCATCCACAAAAACGCATCGTGGCCATTGTTTAAACCAACATGGGTATTCGATACAATTGTTCATTCCTGAGGCATCCAGATGAGGCTGAAACACAACCCATGCCTTTCTTCTTCCTGGATCCCGATATGATGTTTCTTGACTGCACCCACCTATGTTATACCTTTTCGAAAAATACTTAAGGTCTATAGAATGTAACACAACCAAAGCTGAGGAACCTCGACGTTAAAGAGATCTTACACGACAAGGATCCGTGGTCCTGCACACACCCTGGGAAACATCTCCCTTTTCACCGGCCCAAGCGCCGACAGCCCGTGCACACAGGAGCTACCAAAGAAAAGAAGGGTCGACGCCGAGATGAATGACACAGAGATGGACTCAAAAGAAGACGAAAAGAAGGGTGCGTGCAGTGAAGAATTGAAGAAGGAAGACAAAAGGGCGGAGGAGGCCAGCAGTGAGGACCAGCAAGATGACACAGAGGTTGATAGTAGTGAAGACGAAGACAAAGACCAGGAGAAGGACACTAGCAGTGAAGATGAGGATGCTAGAAGTGAAGGTGCAGAGAACAAGCGTGAAGAAGGCAAGGAGGCAGACGATGCTTGCAGTGAGGAGGAAGAGAAGGAGGCAGAGGAGGAGCGACCACAAGGTGTCCTCCATGTTAGCAGCGATGAGGAAAGTGAAGAAGGAAAGAAAGAGGATGATGCAGGCAGTGCAGCAGAGGAGACGAAACAAGAACGCACGAATGAAGATGAGGCTGAGGAAGCTGGCAGCCAAGGGCAGGACATGAGACAAGATGATGATACTAGCAATGAAGACAAGGACAATCAAGAAGACAAAGAGGAGGTCGCTGATGATGAGGGGAGGAAGCAAGAAGACACATATACAAATGATGGCAAGGAGGATGCGAATGCTAGCAGTGAAGAGGAGGGCAAAGAGGAGGATGCTGGCAGGGAAGATGAGGAGGGGATGCAAGAAGCAAAGGAGGAAACAAAGCAACAAGGCAAGGAGCTCGAAGATGCTAGCAGTGAGGACGAGGACAACCAAGAAGACAAACAGGAGGATGCTAGCAGTGATGACAGTGACAAGCAAGATGACAAAGAGGACGGTGGCAGTGAAGATGAGGAGAAACAGCAAGAGGGGAGCGCGTTTCCAATCGCAGAAACGAGCTCAAGCCTAGAAGCGCGCAGGGCTGCTTTATCCCTCTTGAAGTGTCGCCGGGTGGATGAGGAAAAGGAGGAGGCTAGCAGTGAAGAGGATGAGGGTGAGGAGGAGCAAGAAGGACAAGCTGAGGATGCTAGCAATGAAGAGAACGATGAAGAAGACGACGAAGAAGGGGGCACGATGAAGCGCAAAGGCAAGGCTGAGGACAAGCGCGACGAGGATGAGGAGGTTGCTAGCAGCGAAGATGAGGAAACGAAGCAACAAGGCCAGGTCCCCGAGAATGCTGGCAGTGAGGATGAGCCCACTAAACCAGACAGACAGGACAACAATAGCAGTGAAGACGAGGACACGAAGGATGAGAGAGCACGTTTGCTGAGCCAACCCACACTGATTCTCGGTCAGGAGGAGGCAAACAACAAAAACGAAGATGCTAGCAGTGAAGATGAGGAGACAGAGGGTGATGAGATAAAGAAAGAAGACAACAAAAACGAAGATGCTAGCATTGAAGATGAGGAGACAAAGGGTGAGGACATGAAGAAAGACGACAACAAAAACGAAGATGCTAGCAGTGAAGATGAGGAGACAAAGGGTGAGGAGATGAAGAAAGAAGACAACAAAAACGAAGCTACGAGCAGTGAAGATGAGGAAACAAACGCTGAGGAGATGAAGAAAGAAGACAAAAGCGAAGCTACGAGCAGTGAAGATGAGGAGACAAAGGGTGAGGAGATGAAGGAAGAAGACAACAAAAACGGAGATGCCAGCAGTGAAGATGAGGAGACAAAGGATGAGGAGATGAAGGAACCAGA